AATGAACGTACAAATGTGCTTTACACAACTGATGTATGTACGGATTGTGATAAGAGCTGTATGAGACCCTAATAAAACAATAAAAAACAAAGAAAACACCATTTTATATGATTGCACCTTAGGCTACGAAGTGGATGTAGACCCTTTCTGTGATAGGGACAAATTATTAACATTAGAATTTGCAAAGTTTCTTTTCTTTAGTTCCACTTTGCCCTATTAGGGAAAGGGGGTTCCTGTGCACTGTGGTAGTTGCTGTGCTGAACAGGGTGATGAATGGAGTTGGAGATCAGAGGTACTTGTGCTATATACGGGCACCGAACCAACCCAGAGATGAGAAGACGTCAGACAGGAAAAGAAGGAAGGGTGGGATGGAGGGAGGGAGGACGAGCGGGGTGTGGACAGATCACTAGAGAAGGGCTTGGAGAAGTGATCGTCTGGGGCAGTGGTTCTCAACCTTCCTAATGCCGCGACCCTTTCATACAGTTCCTCATGTGGTGGGGACCCCCCCAGCCATAAAAGTATTTTCATTTCATTCATCACTGTCATTTTGCTACTGTTATGAATTGGGCGACCCCTGTGAAAGGGTCATTCGACCCCAAAAGGGGTCTCGACCCACAGGTTGAGAATCACTGGTCTAGGGGGAGAGAAATATACCTACATGAGGATGGCTCCGTTTTGTGATGTGGTCCCTTCCCTTTCCACCAGCCTCAAGACATCTTCAGTAAAGACCTATAGGACTTTCAATGCTTCTTCTTAGGGTCCTATTCCATGCCCAGGTTGGCCACAACATAGCCAAGTAGATTTCACTTACATCTGCTTCATCTCCCTCAAACAGACGGATCGACACTGGGGCTAAGACAAGGGGCTCACACAGCCACTGTGCGGAGCGTGCGGAGCCTGAGTCCTTTCTTCTGTTGTTCGTAGGTAGGGTCACTATGAATCCAAGCTGCCGCAAAGGCATTTCACACCAGCTTTATGGCTGGATTTCAGATTTAAGACTTTTACATTAGTAATTCCTCATCAGTGTGTGTTGATGTTCCTTTTTACCGCTTAAAAGAACTATGTTGTTCTAAAAGCTTTAAACGTTGGTTAAATGCCTCATACCTGGGAAAAGCTTAGTTCTATTATCAGTAGCATTTTTTTCTAGCTTGTTCTTGGTCTGAAGAGCAATCGTTTCATCCAAGTTTTCTGAAGGAAGGAGGAAAAGAAAGTCGTTTTTAAAAATTAAATTAGCTCCTTCATTGCAGAAGCCATACTTTACTATACAGTTCCTCATGTGGTGGTGACCCCCCCACACCAGCCATAAAATTATTTTCATTGCCACTTATCTGGTGCAGTTAGCTGAGCATGTTTTATAAAGGAAAGGGAATGGCAAAACCCTATTTAAGTTGTTCCATTGCTGCCTCAAAGAAACAAGATGTCTCAAGAACTAAACCAGGCAATTAAAACAGGCAAGGTTCCCTCCCCCACCCAAAGCACTCCATTAAGAGAAATACTCTGATACACATCCACTAGACAGTCCTTGCACTCTAGAGAGTCCACAACCTGAAATGCAATGGAGAGGTTTCCCTAAAAGATATACAGGTTTACTTTCTAAAAGGCCCGATCGATCCTTTACTAAAAATGTGCAAATCTCACTAGGAACGCCACAATAGCAATTCCATAATATGAACACTGCTAGTCCGGCACCTTGACCTTGATTTTACTTCTAGGAATCACAGACTCTAGAAAGTCACACCATTTGAGATCAATCGCTTAGCCTCCTACTCAGCATTACAGAAGGGCCCTGCCACTGCTGGCATGATCTCAGGGATGGCATCAGCGAACAGCCGTGGTTCTGACTGACTCCACACCCTTGGGGGGCTGCACCTCGATTTTCCTTTGGAGAACCCAGCATTCTCCCACTCTTTACCTGCTAGACCACATCAGCAGTTGAAGACCTCGGGGCTAGCTAATCAAGTTCTTCTAATTCCCTGGTGATAGTGAGAGTTCAAGGCTAAGCTTATGATGGCTCCAGCCAGGACAAGGAGACTCAATGATACGACCGTGGGGGTAAAGAGGCTGTCTTTCTACTGGGATTGCTGGGCTGGGAGGATATGTGATGGAGGCTACCCAGCTGGGCAGTCCTGGTCACCCAGATAATTCAGGCGACTTGGGCATTCAATGATCAAATGAGCGAGGTCATTACTGGCCGATCTTGAATTCCCTTTGCACGATGGAAACAACTACAGTAAAAACAAAACAGACGGAGCTCTCACCCAGGTAGGAAACGCCTTCTTCAGGAGATATTGTGCCATATTTTACCATCATCTTCACAAAGTCGATCAATGTTTTCATGATAGTTATCAGTGTTTCTTTCTCTTTTGCCTCTTTTTCTGAAAGTATAAAATCATTATGTAAAAATTAGAATACAGCTTTATCTGTCCACGTCAATGGTAAAGTACACTATCTTATGGGAGCATTTCTTGCTACATTTATAGCTTAAGTCACATGTATTTAATTTATAGAAAGTCTTAGACTTGATTGGGAATGTAGGCTACTTGTCTGGTATACTTTTGCCCCCAAAGAAGCATTGATAAGATCTTCCAAAGGTTTACTTAATCTAAAAGATTTTATTAGTAGATTAGGTAATAAAGAGTTCCTTCTGCAGCCCAAGATAATAAAAACTCAAAAGAGAAGATAAGTGGGCCAATAACGTTCCCCTACTCGGGCGGTTAAGCCATCGCGGGCAACAACAGATGTCCAATGCTATCTTTGAAACCAATGACAACCGTAGAGTAGAGAAGTAACTAGCTTCATGGAACATACAAGGGGGCTGCAAAAAGTTCATGGGGGAAATTCCGTTATCTTTTCATTCATTTTCCCATAAACTCTTTGAAGCCGCCTGGTACTCATTCATTAAACTCAGTCCTTGAAAACACGAACACGTGTATTTTTATTTTTTAAATGTATTTTGATTTTTAAACAGGAGCGTATATTGTGGTTTCAGCTCGATTTTATTTCAAGGGCAATAAGCACATCGTAAGTGTGTTCTCAGAGCACAGTAGGAAATAAAAGTGAAAGGACTCTCTTCCTCACTCTCCCCACCACCGCCTACTCCCTGTCAGTTCAGGCTCACTGCCATCCGGTCACTTCTGACGCAGAGCCACTCTTTAGAACACTCTTTAGAATCTTTACGGGAGCAGACAAGCTCCCCTTCCTCCCACAGCGAGACCAGTGGGTTTGAATGGCTGACCTTGCCGTTCGCAGCCCTACTCCAGCAGGGCTCCTTCCTACTCCCTATAACTGAGGAACCACTGCCATCAGGTCAAGGCTGACTCAAAGCAACCCTACCGGACAAGGCAGAACTGCCCTGTGGGTTTCTGAGATGGTAACTTTTAACAGGAGTGGCCCGTCCTCTTTTTCCCTCGGAGTGGCCAGTAGTGTCAAACTGTTGACCTCACTTTTATCAACTCAAAGTGTAACCACTAGGTCACTAGGTGATTCTCCTACTCCCTAGAGTCAACCACTACGAAGCTTCTTGCAAACTTCTCATATCTGACTTCGTTCCTAAGAAGAGGGATTGTGCCCATCTTTCCATCATCCACAGAGAGGCAGTTAGTGGGTAATAGCCAGAGGTCTCTATGTGCCAGCTGAGGCCGGACTATTTCTTCTCCCTGATCCCCTGAAAAGCAGGGACCTGAGGCTAGTGTTTGATTTGTAAATTCAAACTTTCCCTGGGATCAGCTCTTCCACGGTCTAGGCAGAGGAGTAGGGAGTGAGCAAGCCCATTTTCAGGTCTCACATTAAGCTCCAGCATGGCTTTTATCAGGAATGGAGATGCTACTTTGAGGTTCTACGTGGCTTAGGATTGCTCAAGTGGTTCAGCTGTTTCTCGGTACCTCTGAGAAGAACGAATATTGCCGAAGACCTCAGTATGAGCGGGCTTTAAAAAGTTCATGGGAAAACAGAACTAGAAGATAATGGATATTTTTCCAAGAGCTTCTTTTAAGTCCCTGTGTGTAAGTATTTAACTCAAAATTCTAGGGAAATAAAGGCAGGATGGATGGCATGAAGGCACTTGGAAGACAAAAACAAAGTTGCAAAAGGGTGGCAAAGAATAACTTCAGTCACCACCCTGTTTACCCAGCGTCACGTCTGTGTGAGGATTGGGCATTGTGTTGATGTCTCTCACGTACAAGAAGTGACTCACCGGGATAACAAGAGCTTCTGAGCTGGACACCTGCCAACCACTGGGGGCAAGATGGCTCAGAATGGGATGTCCAAACCCTGCAAACACCACCAGAGTGGCTGGTGCCATCTGGCCAGTGTCTGGATTGAAGGCCTACAGGTGGTCTTCGCTACAGGCAAATAATCGGCAATTACAGTAACATTTGCACAAATGTTCAATTGGGAACCAAGTCTTCGAACAGAGCAGGGAACAGCTAGGAAGATAGTACAAAGATCTGCCGGAGCAATAACAAGAACAACAGAAACTTTCCTCCCCCTCCTCCTCCTCCTCTTCCTTCTCCCCCTCCCCCCTCCCCCACTTCCTCCCAGATTAGCCAAAAATAGGCACGGGGCTGAAATCCTTGGCGCACATACAGGTAAAAGAGCAAGACATGAAGGACTTGGTTTTTTAAAATATATATCATTTTCCGAGTATGTTTTGGATTTCTGGTCTGTAGACCAATCAATGCCTTCCATTTAAACTCATTTGAGGGCTGACGCTGAAAATATCTCTAAAGAAACATCCTGATTCATCTCAAAAAGGATGTGATGTTCCACACACTGATTCGGTCATATGAGGAAAATGAATAAAAAACATTTAAAAAAAGTACGGTAAGAACTGCGGTTGAACAGGGTAAAGGCAGGGACATGGGTTCCTTTATGTATCTGGACAAGGTTCACACAGCACATTTCAATAACTGTTGGTTAAACAAATAAGTGAACCTTTTGTTAACAAGCACATTCAAGGATCCAGAAACTCCACCTTTCCTGATTGCCCTTTCCTAAATATTTGCATAGCTAGTACACGTCTTAAAAAAAAAAATCGATGCGAACTACTCTCCTGAGGCCACGGTGTATGCCATTGAAGTTTGTATTTAGAAACTGAAAACATAAAAAAAAAGAAAAAAAGAACTGAAGTCCCAAACCCCACCCACCTACACATTTCCTGGAATCGTTTTCTGTTCCACATGGTCAGACACACAATGATTACCTGAATCAATGCTTTTCAGTAATGCATAGAAGTTTGGGAAATATTGGAGTTCCTCAAAAGTATCTTCTCTGTAGGGTTGAGTTCTTCTTTCCAAGCCAGTCGCCAAGGTTAAGGTGTTAGCTACTGTTTCATCATTGTCTCCATTAGTAAAACCATCTTGAACGGTTGCCGGTGGAGTCTCCAGTGGTGGGGAAAATCGATTACAAAGAAAGATTTTGTTAGAGCGAAGGAAACGCCAGCTTCTTCCTTCTGTGGTGACCTTGAACGTGAAGTGCAGCTGCGCCCCTCCTTTGTGAGCTACTGAGGTGCAAACCCTTTTCTAGGCACATGGGGATCTAGTCACATGGAAAGGTGTACAGCTAGGGAATTGAGGACAGGCTTTTTTCCTCCAGGAAAACCTCCCGTACAGGTGAGTCTTCCAGAATATCTAATGCTAGCAGCATAGGGACTCCCGGGCCATATTCCTGTCCCATGTTTCCCTTCTCAATTCAGAGAACTAGGCAGAAATCTGAGAGCCGTACCTGGCTCTTCTTTCTTTCCCCTATCCAATCCCTCAGTAGCTAGTTGGCCTACGTTCAAACTCTGTTCCAAAATTTGCACACATCTCTCCTTTTCCTCTATTCCATATTAGT